TTATATAATATAATATAATATAATATAATATACTATAGTATAATATAATATAATATAATATGACTGTGAAAGAGAAAAGAATACAGAGGATGTTGGAACAAATGGCAGAAAAGGATAGGCTAAATGTCAATAAACCGGTTAAAGTGGATGAGAAAGCATAAAAATGAAACGAGAACGAAGAAGAAATAGTAAAAAAGAGAAGGGAAGCGGACATATAGTAGGGAAGATGGGAGACCGAAACGGAACATTGTAAAATTAAATTTCAAATCAGAGCAACTTAAACTTAGGTTAGGTAAATTGGTTAGTTATGTCTTTTTTAATAATAATAACAATTTCTTACTAGAAGTTATGACAAGATTCTTTTGCCAATGTATTTTGAGGTTTGCCTAAATTTGTAAATTCGGTACGAAATTCATTAATGATCTTGTAGAGATACATGTATAAAAAACATGAAGAGAATGTCACCTCTTATTTATAAATTAAATGGTTTCCTAATACACTGTTAACACACATTATTTGGTTGTAGAGTAAGTTTTAAACGCCGATTTGTGCTACCTAAAGCTCTATGCAAAAACAGGACCAGCTCTATTCCTTTAATATTTGTATTAAATGCACTATCATCGAAAACCAGTTTTATTAAAAATATATATAAACACGAGAACTTTAAAAAGCGTCGTTGAAATGGATAAAATATTGCCACCTTATACGATATGACAGCAATAGAAAATTATTTTAATGACAAGAACAGTGCATAGGAAAAAAATCTTAGAAACATAGGAGTGAATTATAATTACTGTGAAAATCTCTTAGGTACAAAGCCACATTACTAACTTATGTTTAATACCTTTCAATAACCACAACATTATCATCTCAATCGCTTGCGAGCTTCTCTATTTGGCATTTCTGCTACATCATGTTTTGCTAGAATATCGTAATACCAGGAGCTGTTTGATTTATGCAGCAAAAAGACCGGTCAGGAAGTACCATCTGTACACATCAGTTATTAACTTTGAGAGCTGTCTGGTTCTTAAAACAATATAATAGAGCTATAAATCCACTAAAACAGTGCTTTTCACCTCAAAGTGGAGCTGAGTTGTTTTTGCACTTACACAATTAACGAAGAACAGCACTTTTATGGCTTTTGCGATTCGAGACGTTTGCCTATCTGTAGCTATATCAACTTCAAAATAATTATAAAAATTTTAGTAAGGATGAAACGTCGGTATAAGATAAGATGACGCAATGTAAAGGCATGATCCAAAACTTTTTCATTTTCAGTTCATTAATAGTAATTGAACTAACTAAACACAAAAAATTAGCTTGGATTAATGGTCGGTAACTGGCAGACCATGGTTCAGGTCCGAACAACGGATAATTTTGTGCCATTCTTATTCCGTTTTCTTTTATTTTTGGTCAACAGTTCGTAAAATGTGATTTCATATTTCATAAATATATATTCCTTTTCTTTGTCGTATTCAATGAAATCAGATATCACATACAAAAAAGTTAATGCAACAGTTATTTAATATTATCACACCGAAATTCAATGCCAGAACTTGTTTCAGTGCACCAAGTAAAAAAAAGTAGGTAATACCTATACATTATGAAACTCACTTTATCTTCTAATACCTTTCAAGTTTATTCAGTATGTGAAATAGGACAAAACTGAATTCATTAAATGCTACACTTAAAGGATATTCAGAGGTACGGTAAATATTTAAAACTTAAAATAATTATAATTGTTATTATTTTCCAGTTTTTA